CATGGCCTTTGATGTTCCTGATGTTCCTTCTTCGGATTCCTTGCTCGAGCCATGGAAGTTGCCTTGCCCGATGCAGGCCATACCTGCAGATATGCTTATTTGATTTATAAACGGTGAATATTCTCGATTTCCCTTGAATGTGTCTTTGTTAGAGTATTTAGGAAGAAGTTGGTGTTGGTGGTTATGCTGTTGTTGCTGTAGTTTCTGGTGGTTATGTTGTTATGGTTTTTACTGAAAACCATTTTTAGTTTGGAAGTTGTTTGTTTAGAATTTGAGTTGTGAGCTTGTGATAGTAAGTATCTTAGTGCTTTCCTGAGGGGATGGATAAGAGTGGATTACGCTCGAACTTGATGTTCTTGTTATGTTAAATGTTGTTCTAATTGATTAATTATGGTCTTGTGCATTTCTTCTTTTTTTACACTTCTTAGGTTATGCAAATGTCTTTTGTGTACTGGGTTTTGAATTTGATGGCTTTTGTCTCTACATAATTTGTGTGAATCGATTTAATTAGCTAAATCCACATGATTTACATATAATCTATGGAGTTGGGATCGCCCTCTCTGAAAGTACTGTCTTTATGTGATCAAGGTTTTTGATGATCTTGGGAGTTGGATGATCTGAACATAAGAAACTAAAGTTGCTTCGAAAGGTTCAATAAAAGCAGCCCACAACCACTGGGGCCATTGAGCTGCAAGACCACATTCTATAGCAACATTACATTATCAATCTTTTCAACAATTTAACTATTTGCAGTGTTCCATTATGGCTACTAAACAACGCTAGCTAAGCATTTAAACTTAAAAGGATATGGCAAATCTCATGGTAATTATCGAATTTTTAACATTTATGTGGGCTAGTTATGCAATTTTGTGTTCGCTGCTTGTATGATAAGTGCACTTTGATGGTTTCGAATCCTGAGTGCGATGGTGCTCACTGTGTTCATTTTGATTGGCTTGCACATGAAATCAATCATAAGCTATGATTGGATGAGATATTGAAGAATATTCTCTATGGGTTGGGTGGTGCATAAAGAGGGCTTTTTGCGGGCTTTTGCTGTGTGTGTGGTCCCGCCTGGTAATGCAGCCATGCCAAATAATTGGGCACAAAAGCTACGAGTGATGTTGAGAGGTAGATGATGATATTTGAGCTTTTCATGTTGAAACTTGGGGTGTTTACGTTGACACAAGTTTCTTATCTTCACTTTTGTTTTGTGCCAATCCTAGGCTTACACGTCAGTTTTGTTCCAAGATGGGTCCTTTTCCCCCTGTTTGCCCACTTTAAGAAAAATAAAATACATAAAAGTTACTTTCTTAAATCTTGAACTCGTAGGACAAAAAGGCCAACACGTCTAGTTGAAGCATATTCATTCGGTTCGTGCTTTCAGTGCCTGAAATTTAAAATTTGAGAGAAACGAAAGATGTGTTTTATTGTTAGATGATTTTCAGTATATTTTGTCGTGTGAGCAAGAAAGAATATGAGAAGATTGAAGGGGCAACTCAACAATATGTTGGACTTTTCAGTTTTCAAACAAGACTAATAGAAACAGGTCAGTCCCCACAATTTTAAGGCTCTATTACATTTATTTTGGTTGCTTTTAATTTTTTAAAACTTTTTAAATTTGTAGAATAATATCATCACATTATTAGAAAAAAACTAGTAATCACCCGTGCGATGCACGGGGATATTATTATCTATACGCTTTTTAAAAGACAATTTTGAATATAATTGTGTAATAATGCAATAATCATGATCATAAGAATAGACATATAAACATATAATTAAACTGAAAAGATCATATATTATTGAACACTTCCTTATATACAATATTATTGGTTTGATTATTTGGCATGTCATCTTCGCCACAAATTAAGATTTTTAAACCTTTTCGGTTAGTGACACGGGAGATAGCAACATATAATTGACAATGACTGAATACTGGTTTATTAAGAAATAAGCCAACATGAGATAAGGATTGTCCCTGGCTCTTGTTTATAGTCATGGCGTAAGAAACCATAATGGGAAACTGTCACCGCTGGAACTTGAAAGGAATTCTAACATCAGAAGGAGTTATGACCATTCTTGGAATCAACACATTATCACCAGCATGATCTCATGTGAGTATCTTACACTCAAGAACGTGAGTGGATAGCTTTGTCATAACAATTGTGTCTCATTACAAAAACCCATAGAATGATCCATGTCCCGCAACAACATGATTGGAGTTCCAATCTTCAAATACAACTCATGGTTCGGTATTCTGGAACACTTAATACTATTCAAAAACTCAGGCGTATGTAGATAAGACAAAAAGTAATTATTATAATCCGATTTGCATGTACTGTCAGAGCTCAAGTACATACGACCATCCAACAAATTCAATGATGTCATGTACTCATTGATAGACTCGACCACATCCAACGTCGGCACTAATATAGCCCTATTCTTCAAATAACTTGGATCGCCGGGTGCCTCTTTATGCATTGGATATGTGCTTTCAACGATCCGAGCAATAGGATCATCAGATGGCTGAAGCAAAATGTCCTCGGGTATGTCTATAGCTGCACATCCATCATTCGACCCCCGATAGTTCCATCTCCGGTGTTGGCTATCCAATCTGCAAACCGTGCAAGCTCATGACGTTCATCCGAATTAGCAAGTCCCTGAAGGCGCATGTTTTTCGTAAGCCTAAGCACAATACAACTTCTCCATATGTCAAAAGCATTAATAACAGCATTGACTATGTCCTGACGGCTACCCTTTGGAATGACATGAAGGATTTGTCGAAAATCTCCACAAAAAACAATCGGCTTCCCAGCAAACGGTTTGTTCAAGTTCAAAGGATCAATTGCTCCCATAATACCCTGCAGCGATGTCTGTACAGCTTCGAAACAATGCTTGTGCATCATTGGTGCTTCATCCCATATTATTAGAGAAGCACGAATTATCAATTCCGCTAGAGGGCTTGACTGATTGATGTTGCAAGTAGATTCCTGGTGGGGATTTAATGGTATAGCAAATCGAGAATGCGTTGTTCGTCCACCTGGCAACAGAAGCGATGCTATTGCGCTGGATGCGACACATAAGACTATGTCGCCTTTGGATCTCAAACCAGCAGATAAAGTCTGTCTTCCCAGTTTCACCATAACCATATACAAAAAAGAGCCCTCCTTGGTCGGATTCAATAACGGACATAATTCTTGAGTAGACACTCCTCTGTTCGGCTGTCATTTTCTTAAGAAGCATATCGTGTTCAACAGCGAGGGCCTTTCGATCATAATTCAATTCATCCAAAATTAGACGATTCGAACTTGAATTGATGTTCTCCCTATCCGGAAATGGCATAGTTGAGAATTCAGGAAAACTTGACCCACGTCGTCTCAATAAATTCTCAAACTCAGCAAGGGTCAGGTTCTTGATTTGTTCTTCAGTGAGCATCAAACCTATAAACCAATTATTTGTCACAACCAATCGATGCATTTAAATTTTGAAAAGTTGCACATAAATCTTCCTAAATAATTGGATAAGGTGACTTTAAGTATCAAAGATGAACTGCTTTTGTTACCAAAAAATGTGGGCACAATTTTGAATGTACATCCCGTCCAAATATCAGTTTTATTTTAAAATAAAAATTGCACGTGGTTTTAACCAATTTACACATTTTTTTTTAAAGAAAAAATTATTCAATAAGATTGGAATAATTGGTTAGAAATTATACAACTATTTGTTTCGTAAATTTGTATCCAATTTGCACGGTTTTTAAATTGATTTGTATTTAGAATTGTTTTCATAAATAATTTTTTTGCTTAAGAATTTCTAAATTTGTTACCAAAAAAGGATATGATTTAAATTTTGGTAATAAAATAAAATATGATACGAAAAAAATGGGATTCAAATTTTGCCATAAGAATCTCCAAATTTGTTACCGAAAAAATAGGATTCAGATTTTGTTCTAAAGATTTACATGTGTTTTTTCGAACTTTCCATTAATAGTAAGTCAAACATTATATTTATTTGGTCAAACTTTCTATTATTGTATTTTCCCAACAACCTCTTTATATATATATAGATTAAACAAAATATGGTGATATAAAAACCAAAAATTTTAAATAAAATAATATCTTAACAATGACAAATAAAAGGGAAAAAAAATATCATTTTTGTCTTTTTATTTTCTCCTTAAATAAAATAAACAGTCAAGTTTCAAACGTTTATTCACTTGAGCATATAGCTGAAACAGTTTTGCTATGAAGTCAACAGTTGGCTCCATAATAGAGTCAACTTTCTATATACAACAAGTAAACCATATCATATTATCTGATTACTTAAATAATACTAATAATATTATTAATATGGTATGATTTACTTGTGGTATATAGATGATTGGCTTCATAGCAAAATTGCTCGTTTATAAATGTTTGCTCAATTTATCTTGCTAGTTGTACAGTTCTTAATTATTAGAAAATGGTAATTACAATTTTACCAATTAAATTTGTTCAACTGGAATAGACTCCAATAAACCGTGTCCTGCAATAAATACAATTTGGACAGGTGTCAATACATTAAGTGTGGATGACTCCATAAGAAAACTATCCCGATGGTTCCATAGAATTTTTGGCTACCAGTTTTGCTACGGAGCCATCAGATGGCTCGACTTATGGAGTCATACACACTTATTCACTAATAATGTATTGACACGTGTCCTCCAATAAATACAATTTGGACAGTGTGTCAATACATTAAGTGGTGGATGACTCTATAACAAAACCATCTCGACGGTTCCATAGAATTTTGTACCATGTAGTCTGTAATTGAACTTTTTTTTTTTTTTTCTCAAACATCATATATTCATCAATTCAGTACAATGAATTTTGTGAAGTGTGATTGATTGAATAATTTGAATTCATTTTACTACGTGACCGAAGCAGTAAATATAAAAATTGTGCACGTGCTCCGTTTTATAATAATTAATTAATTAATTACTGTTGTCCACATCAATTTCTCCCTCTCCACACAACTCTCAAACAACAAACCAAAATCAGAAACACAGAAAAGGGAAACAAATTCCAGTCCAGATCCGTCGGAATCGTATTCCGGTTACCGTCCGTCGAGATGTTTCTGTTGGACTGGTTTTACGGCGTCTTGGCATCTCTCGGGTTATGGCAAAAGGAGGCCAAGATCTTGTTCCTTGGCCTCGACAACGCCGGCAAAACTACGCTCCTTCACATGCTTAAGGATGAGGTATTTTATTTTTTATTTTTCGTTTATCTGGTTGAATAAGATTTTTTCGTTTTCGATTTTATCAGCAGATCCTGATTGACTTGGAAATTTTATTTATTTTGATTCAGAGATTGGTGCAGCATCAGCCGACACAGTATCCAACGTCGGAGGAGCTGAGCATCGGCAAAATTAAGTTTAAGGCTTTTGATTTGGGTGGTCATCAGATCGCCCGTAGGGTTTGGAAGGATTATTACGCTAAGGTAGTTTGTGATTTAGTATATATGTTGCAGCAATTTAATTCCGAGTTGTGGTCTGATATCTTTTGATCGTATCATTTGTGCACCTGAAGTTCAATGGAATTTTTTTTCCTGTTATTTGTGTTTGTTGTTTTATTGTATGTTTTGAGGATGATAAGAGTAAAGGTTGGCTTGATTTAGTTGTTTCCAATGTGTTCTTTGGGTAATCAGCTGAATGGTCAATTAGGTTGTAAAAATTTTGCCACTTTTCCCTAAACTTAATTCTTGTTTACGGTCATGCACAATTGATGACTTTACGGATGTGCAGAAATCTTTGGCTTGTTTTCTTACCTTTTTCGCCTTAGGAAGTTAGATATGCTCTAAATGTGAACCTACAATCGCTCTAATCTCAATTGCTGAAGTTGTTGCTTGTTTTGCTGGGAAGTGTATGATTATATTTGCCAATTAATGTGACCAGTTAGATACTAACACTATTGTAGTTATCGCAATAAAATTGTGCTGGGGCACGACTCTTTTTTTCTCAACATAAGAAGCTCGACTTTTGAAAATGAAAAGCATGCTAAGGTAAGTGACCTAGGATCTCAGCCTTTATCTTGTTTTCAGTTGTGCTCTGGGTATCTGAAATTGCAACAGAATGGACAAATATTGTGTAAAAAGGTTCCTGTGTAGTTTTTCAATTTCTATTGCTTCCTCTTATGCAATTAAGTACGTAATGAATAATAGAAACTCACATAGCTCCTATTTCCATTGTAAATGCAGTCTATATCAAGATTTTATTATTACAAACACTTAATCGCTTCACAAAATTGTGCAATTAAGTAAAGTACGTGTGGTGGTTAATTTATACAGGTTGATGCTGTGGTTTATTTGGTGGATGCGTATGACAAGGAACGTTTTGCAGAATCCAAAAAGGAACTCGATGCACTCCTCTCGGACGAGTCACTAGCAAATGTCCCGTTTCTGATTTTGGGTAACAAGATCGACATACCTTATGCAGCCTCGGAAGACGAATTCCGTTATCACCTGGGGCTGACAGGTGTCACTACTGGCAAAGGGAAGGTGAATCTTGCGGATTCAAACGTGCGCCCTCTTGAGGTATTCATGTGCAGCATTGTGCGCAAAATGGGTTATGGAGATGGTTTCAAATGGGTCTCTCAATATATAAAGTAGAGCTTTTCTATCATCATCAGCAGCAGCATTATATGGATTGGAGATGAATGTAAAATTTCTTTCTTGATGAAAGAGGTGAAGAGGGGGGAAGATTTATTTTTCTGTTGGGTGTCGATTCTGTTTTTTGCTAAGACGTTTATTCTTTGCGCTTTGATGAATCTGTAAAGTTGGGAGAAATCTGATTGCAACTTCCCTCTGAAAATGTATTATATCTGAGATTGGAGAATTTTGCTGGTGTATTGTTTGTGCTGGAGATACTGATCAAGGTATAATATAACTCATTCCTCCTTCAGACAACACAGAAAATTAATAAAACTCCTATCTCATGCTATTAGCTTGATAGGTTAATATTATTTTACTATTACTGATACGGTAACCCAGTCAGATAGTTATCCTACATCTGCCTCTGATAATTCATCTATATTTGGTTTACAAATATATGGGCCATCATCATAATTAGTAGTAAAATACTAGAATAAAGTGAAATTGATATATAGTCGTGTAAGTATAAGTTAATATTTCAATCATATAATTAAAAAAATTATATTAAGATCGGTTAGACTGACATTCAAATCAGTCCAGCCGGCCGAACTGAACCGTGAACCAATAGAAGGATCCGTTCATCTGTTTTTTCATGAATTTATTAATATAGTGTTAGAATTAAAACAAAATTATATATAGGATAAATGGATCGTTCATAAGACTTCACATAATCCACAGTCAAAGGTATCGAGGAAATCTGAGTCATTCCGTAAAAGCTGCTTAATTTATCAAGCCATCTCCTCCCAGTCTTCCTACTTTAACACAATCATCACAACGGTAAACGGGAAAAATAAATAAATACATAATAATTGAAAAGGGAACAAAATGGCAATATCAAGTTCTACGGAATATACTTAAACTAACCAAGTTGAAAGAATTATTGAGCGTAGCCAATCATTATATTATTATATTATATCTTTTCTTCATGTATTTATATTTTTATACCAAAATATTATATATTAAACAGTATGATATCATAAATAAAATTATAATAATTACATAATATAATTATGAATATTACTTGAACATCGGCTCCAGCATTGTAAGACAGGCTTTTGCTTAACTAACTTCACAAAAATAAATATACTGATAAATGATTAGTGATGTTAAATAAGTTATTTTTAGCAAGTTCGGTCTAAATGACTCACAGATTTAGATTAAAATATCAACTGTCTGAAAATGGACTGGCATTATGAGGGCCCGAATTTAACTCTGGCGGGATTTGGGCCAAACATATTACTAAAGTGACTCTTATCAGAATTGGCAGGATTTGGGCCAAACATATTACTATCATGATTCTTATCAGAATTTCTAAGATTATAAATTAGAATGTGAAAATTATTTCTTTTAAGCATACACAACATATAATTTTGAAAATATATATAGAAAGGATCATATGAGAATGACTCTTAATGCGAGAAATGAGAATGAATCTAGATCATTGGATCCAACATATCAATGGTCTTGATCAAATCAAAATTGGTCAATCATTAATGGCAATATGGTAAATTAACATATCATTGTGGTCAAATATACATATTTGACTACTCAATTGGAAAAATCCGGTCATTACACACTAACCTAGCAACCCTAATATTTATATCCACTCAAACACACACAATACACACACGCTCACACTCAGCGCGCACACACACACACAAACATATGAAAAATACGCAAATTTTTTCGATAAGTGATTTTTCACAATATTTGCATATAGATATGCGCTTTAAAAGTAGAACGCATAATCAAAACGAAAAATAAAATTTTGAATTGGAAAACTTTGATATAATCGGTTAAATTTTGTTGGTTAACATAAATAACTAAAATAACCAAAATATATTATATTATTTATTCTAAAAACATGTCAAATCATTAATATTTTTTACTTAATATTATGTGTTATATTTTTTATTAAAAAATAGTGTATATGTAAACAACATATAATGTGCAATATATCAGTTGTTAATGTGCAATTCGTCCAACATTACGGTGCATGGTGTCGGTCTACAGATTGAACCGACCAATCTGTTGTTCTAAACGAAATTAAAAATGGGCACTTTTAATTTGTTTATTCGGTTCGGTTAACAGAATTATCTAAAATAATCGAAATATTTTTTTTTGTGCATTATATTCAATATTTAAATAATTTTATTTATTATTTCTATATTATTTTTGGTTGAACAAAATTTGGCTTTGGTCGGGTTTGATCTATTTTGTACAATCTAATAGTCGTGATATTGTGCAGCGTGTTGTTCTGTAAAGTGCAACGTGTTGTTTTATAAAGTGCAACATGCTGATATATAAAGTGAACTACTGTGATTTTGATACGTTAACATGTTTGTGTTTTGTGTGGATAAATGATGTGTTTAACGTTAAAGTATTATGTATACCCGTTTTTTATATTTATGTTGCATGGTATTTTGTCGGGAGTAATTGATGTTAATTATGGAGCGTAGTGATAATGCGCAACGTATTGTTTTATAAAGTGCAACATATTGTTTTATAAAGTGCAATGTATTTGATATATAAGGTGCACTATTCTATATGATCGCATATAAATTATGTGTTTTTTGAAAACTATATTTAGTAGATAAATAATTTGTTATTTGTTTTATGGAAAAAAATATATTTATTATTTCGATATTTTTTGTTTATTCTTTAAAATTATTTTTATATAATATATTAATTTTATTATTTTTAATTATAAATACTGATACAACGTCTTGTTTTATAAAGTGCGACATGTTATTTTATAAAGTACAAAGTGTTATTTTATAGAGTGCAACGTATTGTTTTATAAAGTGTGACCAGTTATTTTATAAAGTGCAATTTGTTGTTTTATAGATTGCATTAATTTATACGATCACATGTAACTATGAGTATTCAGAAACTATTTTTAATAGATATAATTGTACATCGAATTAAACTAAATAATTAAAATATTTTATTATTTATTATTAAATAGTATATTTAGTATTTTAATATTTTTTTATATTTTTATATTCTTTTCTGTTTAAAAAAATAGAACTTACATTTTAAATTATTTAGTATTCAATATTTTTATTTATTATTTTTATATTATTTTACTTTATAACTGTTTTTATATAATAAATTATTTATTATATATATGTAAACAAAAATATATGAAAAAAATCATATTGTTTATAATTTTTCAATAATTACAGATTTGGCATGTGGGTTTAATTGATATATTATGCGAAGTTATAAAATTACACTTAAGTCTTTGAACACTTCCAATTTTCAAAATGAACAAAACCTAATTTGCATATAAATCCTCCACACCTATCAGATTCTTCAAAGCAGGGATCAAATTCAATCTTCAAAATTCCGTTTATAACCACTGCAACTATCAATCGGCGTTCTCACCGTCACCGGCACCTAAAATCATGCCGCTTCCGGCCTGCCCCGCCGCACTGTAGAGGAGATGAACTGGGAAGAGAGATTTCTTTTTTTTTTTTAATTGGCCATCAACGTTAGCTTGAAGATCGATTTCCTGGCGCCATAGGATAGTCTTAGTTGGCAACGGCACGTCTGGAGGATGCCGGGGATCGGCGTGGTCGGGTGGTTGCCGTCTCCAACTGCATGTTTGTGTGTGAAATGAAGTGTAAGATCGGCGTGGTCGGATGGTCGCCGGAGGAGAAGACCTCGTCGGATTTGAGCGGCGCTAGGCGATGGATGAAGAAGTGCGGGGACGGCACAAACATTCTCGAGCGCCGACGACGGCAATGGCTGCCGTCTCGGTTGGTGCGGCGGTGCTGCGTGGTGTGGCTGCCGGCGAGAGCAATTTCCAGCCGTGTGTGTGTGTGTGTGTGTTAATGTGTGTGTGCGTGGGTTAATGTGTGTGCAGCGTGAGTTAATGTGTGTGCGTGTGTTAGGTGTGTGTGTGTGTGTGTGTGCATGTTTTGAATGTGTTAGGTGTGCGTGAGAGTGATGTGGCATGGTGATGTGTAATTGCAATGACTAAAATACCCTTAATGAAAGTTTAATATTGACTTTTTTTTAACATTAAATCATTCGATCTAATGGCTACGATTTATTCTCATTTCTTGCATTAAGAACCATTCTCATGTGAACTCAACTCAATATATATATACCTATATATATATATATAGCATGCATATCATTATACGCCAAAACGGCCTAGTTCTATTATTTATTTTTAAAACAACAAAGTAATAAAATTCAATTTGACAATAAATTTTAAAATAAAATAAATAACTGCGTATTATATAATTAACAAGCTCAAGCTAACTGTTAGAGCACCCATACTGCATTAGGTCTAAATTTACCTATGTGGCATATAAATAGACTTAAGTCTTAAATGACATGGACAAACCCAAATAAAAAACTCAAAAGCTATTCAATGCAAAAATAAAATACTAGGTCTAGCATACATGCCAACCATTAAAAATGCTCTAATATGTTTCTTTTATTATAAGAAAAACTAAATTAGGAATAAATGATGAGTGTTTGAGTTTGTACTTGGGTCCAAAATAGACCCAAGTGTGGACTTAGTCTCTTTTTTTTATTGCCGCATAAGCTAGACTAGGTCCACTTTTAATTGCATTGTGAAACACTCTAGCAGGTAGAGAGACACATTTCACTCCTCATCGCATTGGGCAGGCTCACGGCCCGAGACTGGGCAGGCTGCACGCCACCACATCGCTACATGGTGGCCCCATCACCGCCTGTTCGGCACCCTCGGCCCAGAGCTGTTGTTTGACTTCGACCTGACTCTCCGTGGGTCAAGCTGAACACTGATGGCTCCTTTGATCGCCACACTGGAGTTGCCGGAGGAGGAGGCTTGATCCGGGACCATAGCGGCGCCTTCATCACCGCCTTCCACGCGTCCCTTCAGGCCTCCTCGAGATCTGATGCAGAGATTCAGGCATTACAGATCGACCTTCAAATTGTTGTCCACCTCTCTAGCCACATTTGGATCGAGCTAGACGCTGCGGCTGTCGTCACCCTTTTGACCTCGGGCCACCAGGGCTCGTGGCTGATTCAGCACCCGCTTATGCGTATTAGAGCTCTACTCCGGTCTGTCCATCACAGGATCACGCACATTTTCCGTGAGGGGAACAGACCCGCTGACTATCTTGCCAGCCTTGGCGCCACCATACCAGACACACATACATTTCAGACTGAAACTGCTCCACTCCGCCTTCGCACGCTTGTTCGGATGGACCAGCTTGGATATCCATCTTTCCGATTTTAATAGATTAGGATCTTACTTT